GGTTTTTGCACTTTCGTAAACAGGAAGAGATCCTGACTGCTTTTATTAACACATGTTGGCACGATGAGATGATTTGGTTTTGCCTGATAGACTTTATTGATAGGCCTTTTTCATCTTATTCTGTGTTTTCAACAACTTTTTTATAATTTGCTAAAAGGGATAGTATTAAAGGTGTTCTTCTCACCACAGCAGTGCTAATTCACTGTTCAGATTAGCCAGATGTTGTTACAGCTTCATCTGTCTGCTTCTTGAATAGTTACAGTGCCTTCAGGAAAAAAATCTTGTTGGACTTTAAAGTTACTATTTAGACATCAATTAACAGTACCAAAATACTTCTGATTTGTCTTGGAATAACAAATGAGCCATTCAAAAAAAATAATAACATGCAACAAAATTATATGAAGCAACTTGAAGAGAGGTCTTTTCTTTGCTGTTGTCTACAAAGTATGAGCAAGACATTGCACTGGCCAAAATCAGATTATTGTGGTTATTTTCAAAGAAAGGCTAAAAGATAATTTCTTAAAGGCAAGGATATGCCACAAGATATAGTTTAGTATCTATTGGCTAAAAGTTCTAAAGATGCTCAAATTCCATTAAAAATCCACGGCAGTTAGGAAACTCTGTTGTGAAAATGCCTCAGAAGCTTCAGTAGTGATTTGTGTTTCTCTGTTACTCTCTAAATTGTTTTGATAGCCAGGTCTTATGTTTTTTTTCTTCTTTAAAAATCCTGACGGAGAAGAATATGACTTGGGAGGTGAATGCCTCCTTCTAAATGGGATTTTGGGCCGGGTACTTAAACCTGTGCCAGTGAAATTGGAAGGTTTTTACATCTGAGAGGGCGTCCCATAGCTGTAGGAGAAGGTAAATTGGCAATGGGTTGAAAACTCACTCTTCACATGCCTTTTTCTTCAGCTGCCTATTTCTCTGTCCTTTAAAAAACACCCTCAATGTCCTGCTTCCCAAGAGGTCCATTTGGCTTCTCCTTTCTCCCCACTATGGACTCTTTCACTCATTACAAAATGCCTCCCTACCCTCTCCACATTGCTCAACCCTTTCCAGGGAAATGTGACTCTGTCACATCACCCTCCATCCTGCCTTCCCAACTGTCCCATCCTGAGTCTCGTGCTGAGCCAGCTACACTGTTCTTCAGTGATAAATCATATCCTGAACTGTTTCCCCACTGACGAGCCATTTCTCTTTTTTTTTTAGTCCAAAAAAATTTGCATAAGCCATCTTTAACCATAGTACAGAAGAGTCTTTGTAACATAAATGTCAAATTCTCTTCAGAAAATCCCAAGTGAAGCTCCCAGTAAACATCAGACAGCACAAGAGGCCCACCCAGTGCCCTGCTTTTAGGTAACTTCCACAGTCTGAGTAGGCAAAAAGGGACCTGGGGAGAGCTGTAAGTTCAGTTCAGTGACACTGGTGCACTCTACACACCTCACACACAAAAAACAAAAACAAACAAACAAAAAAAAAAAACAAAAACAAAAACAAAAAAACAAAAAAAAAAACAAAAACAAAAAAACCCCCCTGATTTAGATTAAACTTGTCCAAATTGCAATAATGTGTGCAAAGAGAGTGAAATACAAAGCCTTTTAAGGTCATCTCCAACCAAACTGAACTAAATTAATTAGTGAGTGAAGTCCTAATCATGTTAGAAGAACCAATGAGACATTATTCTCATTAATTGGTGTACAGCTAATTGTTGCCATGTATGTGTCCATAGGCATGGATGTACACAGCAGTTATTTCTACAAAGACTATCTCGAGTAGCTGTTTGAGAAACCTGTACAAATGCTGAGTGTGTTCTTGATCAGTGAATCTGAAAAGTCTCATTCCCAGGTATTTGTGCAATCATCGGTGCTTCAAGGGTGATTTTCCCCACTATAGCAAGGGAGGGATAGGGATGTCTTTCATAAAAGAAATAATAAACAGTTGATTTTTATTTTAAAACAGTCTTAGGAAAATGAAGCACCTGAACTGAGCTCCTGCCATGAGGTGCACTGCCAAATGGATGTGTTGTAAGAGCATCCTGGACACTCACCATCATCTGCACGGGGACACTGATTAAGCAGCACAGCTGTGGCAGTCCAGGGGCATAGCTGTGGAGAGCTCTAGTGAGGAGTGACTGGATCGATATCCCTATCATTGCTTATGTCAAGTAATGAACTCCATCATTACTTGTATCAGTGTGCCCCACAGCATGTTAATTTGTACATAGCTACTCATCGTATGCACCATATAGTGTGTTTGTGCAGCCACCTTTGTGTAGATACATTGGGATACATTTCTACAAGGTGTAGAAATACAAAGAAAAAATAGGCCAATATACACAATTTATATATGTATATAAAAAGTTGAACTTCCATTGTGTAAAACCAGCAGGTGTGAGAAGAAAACAATGCAGTTTCACTTTTTATAACTTCAGTGTCTATAAACAAGGACATATAAAGAAGACATCGCTGGCACACAGAGGGGACCTGTTGATAAAAAATAGATCCTGAGAGGAAGCTCGTGTTGTAGGGGCCTGTGGTTTCCCTGGGAGGAGGAGAAGGCTGTGTTAGGTGCTCTCCTCCCACTGAATCTTTTGAGACACCAGCAAAAGTTCCTCTTGACTTCGGCAGGAGTTAACCTGTGAATGAAGGGGAATACCCAAGAGACATTATGCATTTAGAAAACATGATAAATTTTGTTGGATGCTTTGGAAGAAAAGGGCATTTCTACAAGTGGGAATTGTTCTGGGCAGGTCAGGATTCCTCTGCCAACTGTCCTGCCGCTGTTCCTGCTTCATCCTAAACTGCTTGTGTTGCTTCTGTGATGATATTTCTGTCTTTCTCCTAGGTATTTGTCTTATAGCAATAATGCCATCTTCTTTACATTTACTGCTAGCAGTACCACAAACCAGCATCCTGTTTGCCTTCTTTATTGCAGCTGCATACGGGGCAGAAGGCTTTAGGGACTTTCATGCAATAATTCCCAAATCTTTTTCCCGTAAGTATATTGCAAACTCAGCTCTCTACAGAGCATTTCCACCTTGTTCCTACTTTCATGATTTTTGTGTCATTTCACTTCTCAGTAATGTACATTTTTCTGCATATGCTACCAAAGGGCTTAAGTAGTCTGAACTTTTTGGCTTCATTCACATGTATTTCATTTTAGCTTAACATAAAGTCTACTTCAAAAGCGACATTTTCCAAATCTCTGGCAGCCAAAGAGCCTACAGTTGTTTTGTATAAATATATTTACATTCAAATTATTATTTGTATAAATAAGAGAAAAAAATTGGTCCATGAATTATGGAAAATCTGTCATGCACTCAAGCCAAATAGTTCTGTTGCTTTCCATAGTGAAAACAGCAGTATGGGGCTGCAGTCCAGCAAATTTGTGGAACAGTGTAGTTCACTTCTGTTTAGCCAGTCATACCATCTTTGTAAGTCACTGTTTGGTCATCGGGGTTTTTTTTCCCATATGTGTAAATTATTTACAATATGCATTCATTCTGTCTTGCCTATGATTTCTGTTAAAAATTTAATATTTGAAGAATCATTAAAATAAGTAGATTGGTAGACTTTGTAAAAGGTGTCCAGTCAAGCCGTGTTCAGAAATGTGAACACCTCTATGCTCAACATGTTTCTTTGTTCATTTTGAGTCAGATATTCTAGTCTGTCACATCCATGCAGTCCTTCTGGGACATCAGGGAGGTTGAAGGGTGTAGCAGAGAAGAATTTGTCCAAACCTTTCAATTTTAAATGAATGTCAAGATTTTTCATCTCTTGAGGTAATTATTGTCCATAGCTTAATTATGTCATTGCTACACCACCACTTACAAGGCTCCCATGAAACTAGCATTCCACAAGGGGAAAAGATGTTGGTCTTTATTGGGTGAAACTGGCCCCTCGTGTTGTCAGCTAGCCATTAAAGTAAATGCTGTCCTTTTTGGGGTGCGGCAGGGTGAAGGTAAAGACGTTTCACTTTAGTGGCAACGATTTAGTCTTTTTCAGCCTAACGAAGAACTATTTTTTCACAAAACCATCAGATCAGAAAAGAGGGAAATAACTGCAAAGATGATTTATTCTACACAGGGTGCCATACAGTCCTGTGGAGATAAGAATGAATACTGACATGGACTGATGTGAAACTTGGCCCTTTTCCATAATGTTTAGGTTTGCTGTGTTCAGATCAAATTTACCAACCTACGTGTTATCACACACAGTGGGGCTATGCCAGATTTGTACCTGAACCATTCTTCTATCTGCAAGTGACTCACCTATGGGGTTATAACACAAAGCATTTATCCAATAAAGTCAAAACAGTTCTCCCACCCTCCTTTCTATTTTTTAATAGTAGTTCATGGCTTTAGAGATCCTCTCCTCTTAGGCAACACTCCTAACCCTGCTGTTTACACACGATTATCACTCCTATAGTTTCCTGTAATGCTAGTTCTTGCTCTTAAATTCTTCCTTCCATCCTGGTTTCTTTATCAGTGCTTGTACTCTGCTTTCCCATTTTCCTTGCTTATCCCATAGAACTGCAAACTTGGATTCAGTACAACCCTCGGGATCTTCCTGCCACATGAATAACATTGCATTTTCTGTCCATTTTCATGCATTGTCTTTAATGAGTTACTTTCACAATTGTTTTGGACAAATTCATGTGAAGTGGATTAATTTTAAGGTTCATTTTGATTAGCCTGAATTGTCAAAATGAACATTACAAATGCAAGAATCTCAAACTGACCTAGCAACAGCTCATAATGTTGTTTGGGTTCCCAGCTCCCTGACCACCTTGTACGTGTCTTATTGATATTCACTGTTCATGCTCCGTGTGTTACAAACTCGTTGCACTGCCCATAGAAATGTAGTCATGTTTGTAGCTTTCGTTATTCAGTTATATTGTACACGCTGTTTAGAAGTTATCTCCTTTGATGTGATTGTTTCTTTGCCACCATATTTATTCTGTAACAAAACTGAGTGGCATCCTGTATTGTTTTTTTTCAGCTGGTAATATTAAAATAGAGACTCAGAGTGATGAAGAGAATGGGCGTGCCTGTGAAATGAATGGGGAAGAATGTGCGGAGGATTTACGAATGCTTGATACCTCGGGAGAGAAAATGAATGGTTCACACAATGGCCCAGGCAGCAAGGCTATGTCAGGAGTTGGAGGCATTCGACTTCCTAACGGAAAGCTAAAGTGTGATATCTGTGGGATAATTTGCATCGGTCCCAATGTGCTCATGGTTCACAAACGAAGCCACACTGGTAAGGCCTGCCATAGTTTTTCCTTTAGCTGACAAGAATTGGCCACGTATTAGGAACTAAGATTTATTTCCTGTACCATGCACATGTTCCCTCTTGTGAGATAATGCAGCATTGGTAGGCATTTGGAACTTGGTTATTTTCTTACGCCATTTCAGCCAGCACAGGAATTGAGATTTCTTCTTAATGGAAGACCAGCTTTTGGGCTAGAATTGTGCCGTTTGTTTGGTGTGAAGTTACTTGAAAAATTCAAATTAAAATAAATATATTAATTAATTTTGTTTAATTTCTAAGAATTGCTGAACAAAAACCCATATGTGGCTAACTCTGAAATTGACCCAGTTCCAATGTTTCCAACAATGCAACAAAGCTCACAGTGGATCGGTGAATGGCAAAATAAATGTTAAGGGAACTGTACTGTCAGTCTTAGTAAAAAAAAAAGAGATTAATTTTGTGTCAAATGTTTCATGAAATAAAAACAAGTATTGTCACTGGTCAAATCTGTACTAAAGGGTTTCTGCTGGGACACTAAAAGAGATATGTAAAGATGTTGTGCTCCAAAGAGATGGCTTTTCATTATAGAGTGCTGTGAATCTTCTTGCCTCAAGTTTTAAATTCTAAATAGTGACAAAGAATGCTAAAAATTAAGAGGCTGAAACAAATGAAGAAGACCAGGGTGCATCTCACCTGATAGGAACTATCTAAAAATCAGGCTTCCAATCTAAACTCTCTCCATAGTCAAAGGAGAAGAACTGAAGTGTATTGTTGTGCTACACATTATTTTAAAAATAATTCAATAACGTATTTGGCATTTTTGCATGGGTATTCATATGAGAGTGAACTTTAAAATATTTTTAAGGTAAGAATGACCTGTCCAATGGTTAGATTCCATAGTCCTGCTGGTCATCACATAGATGTTTTCTCCCTCTGCATCCCCCGGATCAAGCTTAAACAATTTCCTCAGAATTACTAAGGAGGGAGACTAACAAAGTGTTTTCAGAGTTTAATGGAGAGGATCCATGAAAAGTGTCATTCATCACCCCCAGTGCTAGTGTCTGTCATTGTCACTATGGCTGTTCTGGCTCTGGAAGAGTGTGATCTCTTACTGTAAGGTGGGTTAACCATGCTCAGAAGCAGTGCTGGTGGTAGTTAGCAAGGTTGTGGTATTGCCTATTTCAAAGTACTCTTCAATTCAATATGATAAATCCTTCCATCAGGGAAAAGTAGATAAATATCTATATTGGAAAAGCCACAGCTAGTTCTCAGAGGAGAGGCTGAAGCCTACTGCCTAGGTGCTTGTTGGTCGACTGTTCCCTCTTTTTTTTTCATTGAATTTTTTTTCATGTGATCCTTTAAAAATTGATCAAATTGATGTGGAAAATGACTTGGACATGAGGCCTTTTAAACAGACCCATGGGCTAGAAGATGATGCTGCAGTAGTCAGAATAAAATGTTACAACCTGAAATTCATTTAGAGGTACAAGTATTTGAGCTTGTTTAAGGAGGCTTCTTTTTCTTAAAAGTATGCTGTTGTTGCTTTGGAGGAGCTGATTTGGGTCCCTGAGGATCAGACACAGTGTTTGCACCAGGGCTGACTGGCCTGTGGTGGGGCACGGCTGATTTTTGGGAGGTGGTGGGCAGGGCTGCCTTGGTTCCTAGTGCCCTGGCTGGCACCCACAGGCTGACTCTCCGGAGGATGCAGCAGAATCCCTGGGGGACACCTCACTGGTTTCTCTGGCACAGACCTCCAGCTGCCTGAACTCCCCATGTGGCAGAGGGACTCATGTGCCTGCCAAGGGTGCTTGGGGTGCTACCAGGCAAGGGCTGCCAGTCCGAGACTTCTCTGGCCCTAGCAGAGCCCTCCCCTTGCCAACTTTTAGTCTCAAAAGGTCTCTTTTTTAGTTAAAACCTGCAGTGGAAGCACCCCATGAGCTGCACTTCACTCAGCAGGAGCCCCTTCTTCTTCTTCAGCTCCTCTCCCCAGCAGCCTCTTTGGGTGAGCTCAGGCAATTATTCCAAGGCTGGCAAGGGAGTGGAGGCTCAGAGCTGGTAGTTTAAATTAAAGGGATGTCATGGGGAAACAGCGATGACCACTTTTCCTTTCAGCTGTGCTGTGGAAATTAAAGCAGAAATGGGATATACTGTTACAGACATTTAACTGCCTATGCCAAAGCCCATTTCAATACATGCCCGGTGAAGGAATAAGCCTCACAAATTAATTACTTTGCTGCTAATTCATGTAAAACCCGCATATGTAGTGAGGTTTCCTTAAATAAATATTTGATTAGTGTGCTAGAGTTTTGTTCACTTATGTGCCAAACGAAAATGACTGCCTGACCTGATAAAAGGCATAATTACTTGTAATGAATACACCTGCCAAGTGCAGATACGCAGAGCAGCACCTGATATTTCTGACCCCTCCTGTCTGCAAGCAGCTGTACAGATCTGCCTGCTTCCTAGCACCTTACCTGTTGCTCCCGTCTGTGGAGTGAATCCCACTCGCAGATGCCTGACTCTCTTCACTCACCTTTCTCAAGGCTTTCAGTAGGTTGCTTTTCTCCAGCTTGCTGCTGACTTGCTTGGTGTTTAGGAAAAAGGAGATCTGGAAAGCAGAGAGAAGCCCCCTTCTGCTCCCTGTGCTGAAACCTCAGAGTATAGGCTGAGATTTCTTTTGTTCAGTGTCCATGTATGTGCCTGTGTATATAAATGTGTATCCATATAAAAAAGCATACATATATGTGCATGTGTATATATATATACACATACAGATATGTGCATAGGTGTACATATTCCCTCCTTATATGGACAGACCTTTAACTCAAGTCACGAGTTATTTCCCTTAAATCTTGTTAGCTGGGTCTAAATGTCTCAAATTTATTTAGAAAATTAATGGCCATTGTCGAATGAGCATTAACAAAAAAAAAAAAAAAAAGAGAGAGTAATGCACATCTCCGAGTATTAGGCAATTTTGTTATTATATTGTTTAAGAAGTGAAAAAGATGTAAATTAAGGTGATAAATATTCTTCACTATATAAGCAGTCCAGGGCCCCTGCTCCCAGTAGGGCTTGCAAGTCACTGCAGTGGTGCTTGATTGAGTTTAGGATCCCATTGCAGTGTTTTCTCCTGGGCCCATATCCCTCCGTAGCTGCACACTGTGCACCGAAAACCACCCAGGATAGACACATGCTGTTCAGAGCTGGTGAGAAAATAACACATAAAGCTGACTGTTTAAACAAAAGATGCATTATGGATTTTTTTTTCTTTCTGTCCTGTCCCTTCCCCATTTTGGGGGGATAGTGCCACCTCCAGTAACCTTCAATCAGTGCCCACCTCCATCCTAGCATGGCTGGGAGCTTTGTGGGGCTCACAAGGCAGGTGTGCCCCACCACAGTAGTTGCCATGGGGAAGACCAAGGGCTGGCCAAGCTACACACAGTTTCGGGGTCTTTCGGTGGTGGTGTTTCCTCACACAGCAACGTTAGCGCAGGTTTCCTTAAATTTGATCCCACTGTAAGTTCTGTAGAAATACCTTGGTATGCAGTAGTCTCATTTAAAATGCTCCATCTCTCTGGATCCTCTACCCAGTGCAAGATTTCACCTTGTAATTGTGAGAGGTGTAGACTGGAGATACATTTCATCTTACTTTACTTGACATTTCATTCCCGGAGTATTTTTACAATCCTTGTTTTCTGCTCTTACACTTCTCTGAGTAGAAATAACAGAAATCAGTGCTACAAAATCTGTTTAGTAGGAATTAATCATTTCTTCTGAATTTGGGTCCCCCGCCACAAACTTATTTCTTCATTACTGTTTCAGTCCATTTCTGAAAAATACAGCATTTCTACACTGAGTAACTGCCCCAAAGATTAAGAGGTAAAGCAGACAGACTCTTAGCCATTTTCTTTTTCCCCGAATGACTACTGTGCATGGCTTATAAAGTACATTGTAAAATCCTGTAGGGATGATGCTGGCATTTTTGTGGGCCACCCCAGATGAACCAGTTGCAGATACAGTTTAGATGAACACATGTACTTGCTGAGCAAAGAAGATTTGCTCATTTGGCTTGAAAGGGACTATGCTGACCTGCTTGAAGCTGTACCAATGAAAATATCTCATCATAAAATAAAATCATTTTGCTGTTTGCTAAATGCTAAAGCTGCCAGCCCTGATGGTAGAGTGTGCAGATTTTGGGGTTGGGACTGTGCCGCTCTCTAACTGATGTTTCAATAGTTCTGTTGCATTACCCAAAAGTCAAAAATTATCATGCTGCACATATATATGCACACACATGGACATACAAGTTTGTCATGAATGTGCAAAATAATACATCATTGTTAAGCAAGAGAGAAGAAAGAAATAGTTTAATTTTTTTGTTTTTAACTTCAGCACCAGAATTTTAAATTCAGTATTATAGTTATATAAAGAAAATCAAAACTAAGAACAGGTCATCTCTGGCCTGTTTCTAATATTGTTGATGCATTATAATTATTATAGCAGATTACATTTATGCTTAAAAAAAATAGAATTCAGCAAATGAGTTTCAAAGGCTGGTTTGATTCAGTCAAGGGCTATGGAGAAATAGGCATGCAGGAGCAGTTCCTGATGAAG